TTGCTGGTTTTCGAGCCTAGTCTTTAGCGCCACAGGGCAAGGATTTTCTTTGTGGGCAGATTGTAGTGTGTAAAAGTTTATATTAGTATGGATAATGTCTGCTGGAGGTGTATGAGATTGTCTTATCATGTGATGTATATGTAGGATTGTAAATTTACACTGAGTTTGAATAATGAAGTGTGAACAAATTTTCTTTATATGTGATTGATTTGACATGAGACTTGCGTGTTGGGTCGTGAGATTGTCTTAAATTGCGCCGTTAAAAGAAAAAAAACGGGGCGTTACAATATAAGTTATAAAATTAAAAATATAAAATGTATTAACATTATGTCAATGAATTATCTTGATAAACACCTAAATAAATTTTTGATTTTTTTTTTCAAATTTTTAACTGTATTGTGTAATAAACTCGTTGATGTAGTAATAAAAAAAATGTAGGGTAACCAAACATGTAGAAATAAAATTTAATAACTTGAAAAAGTTTGATGTTATAACAAAAAATAGTAGTATATGCAAACTATTTATTACAACATTTATTGTTAAATAATTCACGAAATTGTATACAACTTTACATGTAATTTCCTTAAAATATTGTTTTATAACATACCAGCTAATGATTTATATAATATAAAAAATATTTGTTATGTATTTCCATGTTATCTTTAGTCTGGCATTTATGTTGTTTGTTAGTAGTATAATATTAATGTGCATATACTAAAAGATCTAATGTTGAAGAATTATACACTAATCACAAAAATACTTCTTATTTTAATTTTACATTCATAAATATGTTATAATCATTGTTCTTGATGTTTTGTCGGCACAAGTGTGATGGACAGGCTAAAAACAAACATGCTAATGAAAAATTTATGATTATATTTTTAGATTTTTATATTTCTTAAAGGAGAACAAATTAATTTTTAATTTGCCAAAAAGCATATTTTGGACATTTCTACAAAAAAAAAAAAAATAATTTTTAATATTTTAATCTTATTAAAGAAATTAAAATAGCATCGGAGTTTTGATTTTCATCATTTAATTTTAAACAAAACTGAATCACAAATGACATTTTTTTAATTTAATAGTCACATAAATATGACATTTTTTTTATATAAAGCTGATTTCATATTTAAGTATAGTCTTGAATTTTGCATTTATATATAAAATATTCTGATGTGATAATCTAAGCAAGAGTGTAATAAATTTTAGAACGATTCTTTGCTATAGATGTATTTTTAAAATTTAAAATACAGATTTTAAGAATATTTTATATTTAAAAATAAATAAAATTATGACTAAAAAATTGGAAGAAAAAAATAGGGATGGAATTGTTACGGCAGTAATAATATAAGAAATAATAATAATTTTCTCCAAATTTTTAATACACAAAATTATAAAAAAGAAAATTCCATTTTAACCGAACGAAACATGGTTTTATTTATTTAAAATTTGTTTGTGAGTTGTTTTCTTATTTATTTATTTATACTTTTCAACTTCAGTACATCACGCATGATGCTGCAATGGAAAAAATGAGCACACCATAAACCACGTTGACTGCTGACATAATGACGCCGCTTCACTCAATTGTGAGATATAATTAACTGGGTCCACGTACATGATTACTTCACTACACTCTCACCATCAGTTGAATCCGACTGTCCAAAACTTGACTTTAAGTAGCTCATTTCAGACGGTTTGATCAGGACCCGCTTGAATTTCCGTGAATTCGACTGTAGCAGATTACACCGCCTGAAAACTCCGCTCCTCTTTCCCCGCTTTATCCGCGCTATCAAAAATTTTAAAAAGTTATTTTGTATGACGATATTGCCCTTAGTCTTTTACTTTATTTACTACCATACCAGAATAATTATGCGTGTTTTCCATCATTAAAATGATTAACCTTGTCTTTGCGAGAAGAATAATAGACGTCTCCGTCAAATCACGGTCTTGAATAGCCGAATTCGAACGTTTTTAAACGCCTGTTTCTGACGCCGTTGAAAGTCAGCAACCTAGTAAGATTCTCCGAGTAAACTTGCTTTGGCACCTTTTCGTTTCCCCCTTAAATTTCGCCTGTAGTCTTCTTTTGTTTTCTTTTAATTTTGAATTTCTCTGTATAGAGTATCTCACTGTTAATGGTAAGTTATTAAATTCTTGATTTGTCTTTCTTTTTTTTTTTTTGTTTGTGCTGTATTTAGCTTTTTGAATTTTCAAAAATTGAGCCCTGCGATTAAATTCGATAGTTAATTAAGTACAATAATTCCTTTTGAAGTTTTTGAATTGCTCGTTCATTTTCTTTTGGTGTTGTTTCTGGCTCTGATTCTTAGAGAGTGGAGCGGCGATTTCATTTTTGACCGTTTGAAGGAGAACAGCAGCGGGGAGGAGAATCTGTGAGTAACACTCTCTTTAGCCTTTTTCCTCTTGTATGTTATAAGTCTGTTTGTTTGCCGGGAAAATCGGGGAAAATAATGGGAAAAAGGGAATCTCAGTGACATCCATCGGTTTCTTGAAGAGTTTTATTGACATTCTTCTTTTGTTTTATCGGCTTTGAATCTTCTTGTTTGCCGGGGAAATCAAGGAAAATGATTGAAAGGGACTCTCACAAGCATTTCTTGCTCCTTAGTTTCGCGAAGAATTTTCTTGACCTTTTTTAATCTTCTACCTCTTGTGAGTTTGTTTTATTGCCGAGAAATTCGAGAAAATAATGGAAGAAGAGACTTACTTGACATTCTCGAAGAGCTCCTGTTTGTTTGTTATTTTCTTTTCATGTTTTAAGAATTTTCAGAACATTAATGTATGACTGCAAAATTTTCCCTCTGCTATTCTCTTCCTTAAGTTTATCTGCCACCAAACAGCGAAGTGGTATTTTCTTTCAGTTAGTTTTTGGTGTTTCTCAGTATTCCATCGAAGATATTTTACTGTTTTTTTCTCTTTCCTGATATCTTTTGCAGCTTTAACTTGCAAGTACCATGAAAGACTTGAGTGGGTGGTGTTTGGTAAACTGAGAATGGTGATTTTGCCTCGATAACTTCATATTAGCATCCTTTTTGGTGTCAGATTGTAGACTAAACAAAATACATATATTTCTTTATTTATTGGGGCAGCGGATTGACGAGGATAAAGGAATTGAAAAGGATAAGGGTAGTTTAGTCTTTTCAGTGTAAGTTCCAGAATTGAATAAAATCTTTGACATATATATATGTTCGTAGTTTGCTGTTGTTTCAATAACATTTAATGTTATAAAATGGTTTTCTCCCTTCCCTCTAACGGGAAGTTTCTGAAATTTGTAGCAGATGCGGCCCTTTTTTTTCTTTATACAAAGAACTACAACTGAGCATTTTAGCTTTTTTAATTGTCCATTTAATTTATTTGTTATACAAGTTGTTGGGAAGAGCAGAGTTTCAAAGATATCATAGGCCTAAAAACCCTGCTCTGCTGTTAGAATTCTTGAATTAAGTTCTACTTTGGATCTTTTAGGTTCTTCCTTTTCTCAAGTTCTTCAAGATCATTTCATGATTAACCTCTTCTTGTTGATTGCTTTTCTTTTCCCTCAGCATATCTAATACCACCTTGCTATGAGCTGTTTTGTACCTTTAAAATACAAAAGGCTCTTTTAGTTGGCCTCTTAAATCAGTCCCACAATCTAGTGATCTTGATGATTTTTGTACGTGACTATATCCTTTTGGTTTATATATATTAATTTCAGGTGTGGGGAGATCCATCCATTCTGAGATTGCTATAAAAACCTCAACTGAGAACATGTTTTCATGAACTAAGCTGAAGTTAGTTATTCGGCACAGATGAAGAAGCTATTCTTTTTCAGGTCTTCCTCTAATAGTGGGAACACCAACGTTCCTCCACCATCAAATGATAAAGTTTTCTGGGAGAACCCATTGGAATCCAGCCAAGCTAGTGAGAAAGCTGATAACAATTTTCGTGGCTCTAGAGGCTTGTTTTCCAAATCACGGAAGCAAGTAGCTGATAGCCAAGGTTCTTGTTCCAGTTCAGTTCTTAGAAGAAGCCGATCATTGTCATCAGCAGCTTTTCTTGTTGATGGGCTGGAACAGAGGGATTTTTCCAACTCAAATGATCAATGTAGATCTCCTTGTAGCACTGCAAGTGCACGGTGTCAGCAATCTGAACATTCATCTCGGTAAACCTTCTGATTATTTTGTTTCAGAGAGTAAATTGTTAGAATTGCATCATTTAGTCCTTTGTTTTTGCATTTACCACCTGTCTACCCTTCTGCTCCAAGTGATTTACTGCAAGTAATTAGTGAGTTTATCTTCTTTTCCAGTCGGGCCGTAACTCCAGAAAAGTTATCCAGAGGAAAACATTTTGAAGTGGAAGCTACTCAAGATGCACATGCATTTGGGAGGCAAGCTTTCTCTGCTTCTTCAAAGACTTGTCAAGATTCATCAGGATCTTCTTGTTCCAGCAATGTCTCAAGTAAAGTTGTGGACCGCTATATCGATGGAGAAGAGCAGCAGGAAAGGAGCAAACAGAAAGAAGAATTTTTCACATAGAAACTACCATGGGAATGGAAATGGTACCAGGAAGCTTCCGCCACGAGTCCACTACACAGCACCCACATCACCATCAGATACTGTCAAGGGTAAGCCAAAGTCTCATTCATTTAGGGAAGCTAGAGGTACATGCCTTCATTTCTCATCTAAAGATTGGGTGGAAACTGGATTTGGTCATGAATCTCCTCGGAGACTTGCAAAAACTGTGATTGAGAGGCTCTCCCAGACTCGTGCATTTCCCGGAACTAGTTCAATGGAATTTGATCATGATATTCCAATCACGATTGAAGATGTCTATGGTGGATCCTTTAACAGATGCTCTGATCCAAGTTCTGATATGGCCAGCCAAAAATTTTATCCTCTTGATGAAGGTCATGAAAATGTTGAAATGGAAGAGGACACCGATGCTGAATTGGAGAGGAGATCTAGGGAAGCTGAGGAGAGGGTGATGCTACTCTCTGAGGAACTTGAGCAGGAAATTTTTCTTTATGATAGTGGGCTTGACATGCCCTCACTAGCTAGAAAACTAACAGAGGAGAGGATTTGCTTGGCACTAGAGATTTCAGCTCTTCTACAGTCTCGAATTGCTGAGAGGGCTTCCAAAAAGGAACAAATCAGGTTAGCAAAGGCAGAACTGGATTTGGTAACCCGAAGACTTGAGAAGGAGAAGAATGAGTTGCAGATTGGATTGGAGAAAGAGTTGGATAGAAGGTCAAGTGAGTGGTCTTTCAAGCTTGAAAAGTATCAAGGGGAAGAGCAGAGGCTTCGTGATCGAGTCAGGGAGCTTGCAGAACAGAATGTCTCATTACAGAGGGAAGTGTCTTCGTTTCATGAGAGAGAAACAGAGAGCAGAAGAATGATCACATATTCAGAAAGACAACTTAAGGACCTGAGTACAAGGGTTGAAGAGGTAAGCAAGGAGAACAGAGATCTTCGGCAAAGTTTCTCCGAATTACAAGAAAAGTACAGAGGGTCTGTAGAAGATTTAGATTGCATTCGAAGAAACTTTGAAGAGAAGGAGAGGGAATGTAAGGAGATGCAAAAATCCATTACGAGATTACTAAGAACCTGCAGTGAACAGGAGAAGACAATTGAGGGATTGCACATAGGATTTAGTGAGAAAATTGGAACAAAGCCGTCGCTGGACAAATTTGATCAGCTGGTTAAGAAATTACAGATGGAACAGATGAGGCTGACAGAAGTAGAACTAGCATTGAGAAAAGGATGTGGAACTTTACAGGGTTGAGATTGATTCTTTAAGGCAAGAGAATATCAATTTACTAAATCGCTTAAAAGGAAATGGAAAAGAGATGACTTTCAAACTAGATAAGGAAATACGGACTCGCATATTGTCCTTGCAGAATCAAGGGCTATTAGCGCTGAATGAGAGCACCCGATTATGTTCAAAGTTACTGGAATTTATCAAAGCAAAAGGGAGCCAACTTCCAGAAACTCTGCAGGGTAAAGAATTAATAAAAAATGGTCTGGATGTGCAATTTATTGTTGAATCTGACATGAAAATTCAGGGCTTCAAGCGCGGAGCTGAAAGCCTAACCCGTAGTTTGCAGACAATATCCACTTCACTGCATGAGATTTCCACTTCAGTTAATTCAAAATCTGAGTCATCCTTCAAGGATGCTGAAGGATCAAAGAAACAAAATGATCAAATCTCAGAGGTGAGTACATGAAATATCTATAGTTATTGCTGCTTTTCAAAGAGTAAGGAGAACGAGTACAACTCACTAAGACTAATGTTTTATATCATCTCAAATTTGCAATAACTACTATATTTGTATTCTCTATTTGATTGCATCATTGACTTTATAACTTTTATAGGAAAGTATAAGAGCTGAACTCAAAGCTGAGACTTTGCTTACCAATTTATTGAGAGAAAAGCTGTATTCTAAAGAGCTGGAAATTGAGCAATTGCAAGCAGAATTGGCAACAGCTGTGCGAGGTAACGACATCCTCAGATATGAAGTCCAAAATGCAATGGATAACCTTTCCTGTGCCACTCACAAATTGAGGGAGCTTGAACTTCAGGTATTTTATTACTACCTTTTCCAATTAAAGATTTTTCTGTTACATCAGTGATTAATGCTAGTGTATGCACATGTTGCCCATGTTGGTATTTCCTTATTGCTTGACGAGTAATTAATGGTAGTGCATACAAACTTATGTGAAATACTCTTTAAAGTTTAATATTCAGTGCACGTCTTGGATTTGTATGATTTATTATGTGTCCCTCCTTTATAAGATGCATTTATTATAAGGCTGGGCAAGTGCATTTATCAAATACTGTTATATTAGGGTTGATGATTTTTGGTTGTGTTTTGCAATCATTTTAAGTTCATGTTTCACTCAAGGGGCATCAGTGCATAGTTCACAACTTTTTTTTTTTGGAAAGAAAATGGATAGTTCACAAATGTTATTGTAGAAATAATAAATTAGGTAATCATTATTAGCCAAAGATTTTGGATAATTTCTTACAATCTATTACTTCGTATGTTATCGGAGTCATAGTTGTAAAGTTCAAATAGTTGATATTTCATTTCTACTACTAAAAGTTAGTAGGAGATATAGAGATATGTGCTTGATCCAGACTTTCAACTTAGTGAACTTATTATGCATGAGGGAATATCTTAACATATAAATAATAAATCAGACTATTTTCTAGCAACTTAAAGTTTTTGTGATATAATGATGTATTATTTCACAAGTCGTACACTTACACTTATTTTCATACTAAATATGTTTTAAATTAGGTACTTTGTAAGAAATCTTTTATTACATATGAGATATGACATTATCACATGTATTTTTAATTGGCTACATGGAAATAGATGCTGAAGAAGGATGAGACCATTAATCAACTTCAAATTGATATCCAAGAATCTAGAAAGGAATTGACGATCATGAAGGGGATTCTACCAAAGGTTTCAGAGGAAAGAGATTTAATGTGGGAAGAAGTGAAAAATTATAGTGAGAAGAACATGCTCTTGAACTCTGAGGTTAATGTGTTAAGAAAGAAGATAGAGGCTCTCGATGAAGATATACTGTTGAAGGAAGGTCAAATTACAATTCTGAAGGACACTATTGGCTCCAGCAAAACTTTTGATCTCCTTGCTAGTCCTGATCCTTCACGAGAGTTCTTGTTGGAATGACTGAAGGAGTGTTGTTTGGAGTTCTTTTTCGGGCAGGTGAATAGTTTTGTTCATAGTTCTATACTTTTTTGACTTTTATGTTCTGAAGCTTGCTTTTTTGTCCATTTCTTTTCTCTTCATTTTTAGAAACTTTGGGTATGCAGGGGGTGAGAAAAGGGGGCAAAACCTTGATTTTTTTGTAAGTGGGAAGTTTAATGTAACTGTATGTAATAGATAGAGGGCTTCGGTGGCTGACAATACCAAAAATGATCTATATCTTTTTCTTTTTTTTTTTTCCCGTCTATCCTCTTTTGGAGAATTTGTTTTTTAGCTAACCCTTAACCCATTTTCTTCCTCTCAAAATTTTTTCTCAAATTGTGGTCTGTATTGTTCAGTTATGTTTGAAGAGAACTTCAAGATTTGAAAGGTTAAGAGGTCAAACACTTATGAGACTACGCTAAAGTACATATGATGAACCATAAAACCCTCTCAAGGTTTACAGTAATTGAGCCCATACCAAACATTTGCAGGCACAAATGTCCTAAAATAAAACATGTAAGAAACCGGCATGGCTCGGCCTTCTTTTTCCTGCTTAAAAAGCTTCACCCAGCCAGGTCTCCACCCGTCTGATCCAACTCTCTTGAGATACAACGAACAAACACTCTGCTTCATGCATTCTCCACTTGCCTCAAACATGTCTATACCACATCTTATGAACCCACCATATCCACTACCATGTCTCTTCAAGCCATGGCTTGGATCATATACCAACTTAGGGTTTTTCAAATGCTTCACGGTGATCAAACTGCCGGCCGCGTCACCAAACCGGAGACTTATGTGGTCTGTTGTTTCGGCTGATGGTGCACATGATGTCTGAATCTCAACCAAGTAGGTGCAGTTTTGGTTTGCTTTGGCTAGAGGAGAAATGATGGTGGCTGCAATGAAGATGATCACTATGATTGGTTTCTTCATTTGGGATTTCAGGGTTGTTTGTCTTGGCTGCGTGCAAGTTTTCTTGTGTCTGGGGTTATGATGGTGTATGTAAAGGTTATATTATACGATGGAATAATGTGCTTGTTTTGATTAGATTCTGTTTTGGGATATAAAGAAGAAAGGACGTAAAGAATGGATAAACATTGCTTTACCTTGGTGAAGGGGCACCATGTGAGGAAGTGTTTGTGGGATCAGTTCGACAAAGTAGAGATCTTTAAAAAAGGAGGGGAACAGAGGAATTTACCTTTTAAACACGAATCTATAGGAGTTTATTAAAAGTATAGAATTATAAAAAAAAATAAATAATTTAAGAAATAGTAATTCTATATAGAGTCGTGGAAAACGAAACAATATGGTTCGAATTAAAAAAAATAAAAATTGAATACTAAAACAAAGTAGATGAAAGTTAGTAGATACAAGCCACAAAGCATAAGTTCATACGAGATTGCATAGATGGAATAGAAAGAATATAATTGCTTTTGAATTACCACCATTCTCAACTTGAGTTTTTTTGTGACAGAAAACTGATCCCTACGTTAGAAGGTAAAAAAGTTAAATTATAAAGTGAAAAGTGAATTATAAAAATTCAAACAAAAATATGCAATTTAAACGATATAACACTTCTTTTATTTAAGTAAATAAAAAATAAGTGATATTATAAGTATGCACGTTAAAATTAACTTAAAAGATCAGCATAAAAATCAATGATTTAGAAAGTAAAGCTAAATATTGTTGAGAACACACACGAGAGACAAATCTCTATTTGCACTTACAATTTTATTAAAAAAAGTATAGAAGCATCAATCATCAATGAACATGGAAAACAGAACACAACCCGAACAAATTCCTTTAAGAATCCTCATAACCATCATTTTAATTGTTTTATCTTGTCCTTCAATTGCCTCAGAGTTAGCATCCACTTTTTGGGGGTAATAGCCTCATAAACTGAGTTTCTGAATTAACTCAGAGGACTGTCAAAAGTGAACAGTTCATTTTGATCCGTGCAGAAACTACTGGAAATTTGATAAGAATATTAAAATCAACTTCATGTTTCTCTGTCTAATACAACAATGCCAGATACTGGGAGATTATAACGTTCATAGCCACGAGCAAAAATAAAGATAAAATAAAAATCAGTCAGGAAAATAGACTTTTACTTATTCAGCAATTCATAGCACATAGCTACATCATCAATCTTCCCAATGGATAAGAACAGTTGCGCTATCCTCTGATGCCCAGATAATCAGTACGAAATTGATATTCCAATCTGGATGACAGTAGTCGATGCTGAAGGATTAACTCTTTGATGCTTCACAGAGATGCAGGTCTCCAAAAGTCATCGGGCTTTTTGTGTTGAAAAGGAATTTACTTAAAATATGAGA